GTACCTTTGCCGTAGGCCGTGCCGTGGCTACCACACATCCTCCAGTCAAAGTTTTGCTCACAGATGGCTTCAATCAGGGACTCGTCTGTCCCATGGAACAAGTACTGCTGATTCACAGGTTTCCCGTCGTTCCTCTTCTTCATCTGCTCGTTCTGCCTGAACACGCAATATAGAAAACACCAATACCATGACGTGCAACCAAGTATTATTTTCACTTTTGATTAATCAGTTATTTTTAGCTTAGATTATAGGGTTTTTGGTCTTTACCAACTCCTGACAAAAATATCTGGCTATTCAGCTGCTAAAGAATCGATTGTGTTCTTCAGCTAGTTTCTGTGTCTGTCTGCTGTTTTAGAGCTTTTCACAGGACAAAAAAGCTGCCTGCTGCAGCTGAAAAAGTTGCGGCCCGGGCGGCTTAACAATGAGCTGAAACTCGCTCTAAAACTCTATTAAGCCGAGGAGAGCTGCAGATTGAGCTAACACTTTTCTAGAGGTTCATCAATACGAGCCGACTAACCCATTGTGGATTGTCACACACATTATTGTTATAATAAAAACATTGATTATAGCTGCTTTAAGCCCAAAAAGCCAGATCTATGATTTACCACTGAAAGACTTCCCACAGAGCGGGATTCTGGATCCTCTGGATGTTGTGAATTTTACTCAGGGGCATGGTACGCTTAAACAACATCTCAATCCTACTATACTCCGTTGCAGATTTGGAGAGAGGTATGAGCTGAAAGATAAAAGTACAGTGCAGATTAATGAAGTGTTTAAATATATAGTTGATGCTCAAGAAGAAACTAAACAGTTGTAAAAAGTTAAGAAATATTAAGCACAGTAATACATGCTGTAAAGATACCTTATATCCAACATCTGGTAGGGCAGTCTTGTCCCAGTAGGGTGGGAAACTTGTAGCTGTGGAGGAGCTGGAGGTGTGTGATAAAGGACTACAGAGGAGACAAAAATAATAACTGAACAGTGAAGTCACTTGATCCAAAACACCAGCATTGCAAAGATAATGTCAAATCTCCATCTATAACTGCAAATAAAAATACCTCTTTAGCTTCACCTCCACATCATTAGCAGACACAAAGAGAGGCCTCCTTCTGACCTCTCTCTTGGTTTTGTACTTTACATTCTCCTGATACATCTCAGGGGTTCCCGGTGCACCTTTTAAGTGGAGGATGTACTGGTGTTTGCCAGCACCAAAAGGGATCTCTGTATCACTGTCTGCCAGGTATACATTCTCCAGAATCTGAGAAGTGATAGAGGCTGATGCGTCACCACCACCCTAAAGAGAAAAAAAACAGGTGAGGGGAAGAGGGGAATGTAGCAAATCACAGTACACCTCTTCCCTCAAACAGGATCACAACGAAGACAAATAGCTGCATTATTTGTACAAGTTTCACTGACCTGTCCAAACTGCATCCATATCCCGCTCTCATCCTTCCAGTACCAAAGCCATTCTGTTGTAAGAATGAAGTGAGGGGGCTTTGAGACAGAGGAGGCAGTGGACAGGCGACGGACTGGAGACCCTCCGTATGTCATCTTCATAAAGTCAACTGACTGCACAGCAAGGGATGCAGAGCTGAAAGCAAGTAGCAAAAGTAAATCTACAATTCCCTCAAACGTAAGCAGACATTTCTAAAGGCTTCAACTAATGTAGTAAATATTGCTCTGTGACCTCTCACCTTTGTAAAGACAGAAATCTGAAAATCCCTAAGGGAGACGACAGTGAATCCATGGAGCTTGTGTCACGTTCTGGGTCGCAGTAGGCCTTCTCAATGTCCTCCATGTTAGGCAGGTCCGTCCAGGTCACACCATCGCTGTCTAAAACTTGCCATCTGTACGGCAGATGCCAATGGACACGAGCACACCTCTCTGGGGAAATAAAATGTTACATAGTGGTAAAAATATAGACACCATCTCCTCTTCACACAGATGTACACATGTATTGAGGGGTTACTGTAGAGTAAATTCAGTTTTACCTTTGAAGCTGCAGTTCTTACGGATGAAGTAGAGGCAGATTTCATTCTTGTCTGCATCGCTTATTGGTTTGGATGGACAAGCAGAACTAGTGGGGGATCCAGGGTTGCTGTGGGAAGGCTGCTGAGTGGGCATTTTCACCTCTGGCAGCGCTGCAGAAGACACACATACATATGTAATATCTATTGTGCAGTTCAAAAGTTGAAAAAGTTTTCTATCAAAGTACTTGTTCTTTACCAGGAACAGCAGTAGCTCGTCTCTCCTGATGACCCATGATGATGAGTTTATTTCTGTAGATCCCATGAAGGTTGGTAATATTCTCCTGACTGAATCCTCTGAAGAGCTTCTTTCCTTGTGCATCAGTAGCATCAATATTGTGGGATCTCTTACATGAAGAACCAAACCTACAGTCACCCTGGAGATAGTGCAGGCAGACGTGAAGCTTGATGCACGATGTGGTGAACCTGCAGGAACCGTGCAAACCGTTGCCCTTGTTGTAGTGGGGGCAGATCTGGTAGGTGTGTTCATTCAGAAGAGTTCATTCAGAATTTTCTACACAATAGCAAGTGTGTGTCTTAATATCCCACCTCTGTTTCCAACTGTTGCCATTAAAACCTACCTCAGGGAGCAGATATGGGTCATTCTGCAGTAACAGCTGGAACAGCTGTTTCTCTGTCAAATCATGAAGACCATATCTCACCAAAAGCTGTGCATTGTATGGATCAACCAGACTATGGTTTTTGTTACACCTGGGTCTGAAAAAAGGAAAATGAAAAAAAAAAGATGATTTCTTGTTATTCAGTTTTACTGAAGTAACCACTGAAGAGGCTGTACAATACACAGTGTAGGGAAAACAATGGTCGAGATAATAGTTGCAAATTACTGCCATCTTCTGGTCAAATAAAGGAGCTACAGTTTGCTTCTTTTTTGTTGTTGCTCTTAGGCCTTTGTCCACAAAAGCCCAAATAGACTGTCGGGCAGTAAAATGTAAATTTTCTTCTCTTAAAGATCCCCTCCAGACATGTATTTCTACATTAAAATTCTTAAAAAGTGAAAACATCATTCCAGTGTTAAACCGGACTGTACAGAGCCTACATCATTGTGCAAAGCTCAAACAACCAACTGCAGGAACAAAAGCAATGAAGAAAAACACATTATTGAGTGGAGGGGGACATTAATGTAAAAGTTCCCACTCCTTATTGTTTGGATTTACAGTTTTCTTCAAATGTTTTGTGTTTTAAGCAAAGTTAAATAATAATAATAATACATTTTATTTAAAGGTGCCGTACAATACATACAAATAAAAACAGTAAGAAATAAGA